CAAAAAATATGATTTTTGTTACCTATCAAACCCATCAGAAAGAACCTCTATGTGAGAAGTGTATGTGACTGAGAGAGTCCAATATAGACGTCTTAGATTATCCTCCAAATGGGGAGGGAAACTCCATTTTTATAGGTTCAAATGAAAGGACAACGACAGAGAATGAAGGGACATGAAGACGATGTGTGCTCCGACCCTTTTCTGTCATTAGATGTGACAAAATATGGGCATCAAGGAGGTGTCGTTGTCCAACTAATGGGCCTAACACCATTACACACCATTCTCAAAACACTTGGTAACGAATGAGGTTAGGATTTTTTGTATACATGCCAAGGCAAACGAAGTATTGGAAGAAGAAAATGAAGGCGGAATTGAGTTTTTATGGGAAACAACATAAGTAATTAGAATTAAGAGAATCTTTTTTTTTTTTTCTAAATTCTTGATCGGTAAAGATAGCAAAAGTGGTTGTAAGGTTAAAGGGGATATGAGAGGAAAAAATATTGAAATACCTAGGAATGTGAATGTGAGAGCTCTAATGGAAAATATTAAATGGTGTTACATAGAGGTACCATAAATGTCACAAATCCTAAAGCTATGGCCAAAATAATAATAATAATAATAATAATAATAATAAATACAAACCAAAATACCAAATGGACTAAATTTGTAATTTATTTATTCTACATTATGTATTGAAGATGAGCTTAATAAAAAAACAAACGAAAACATCCACCGGCCACCCAGTCGTTGAGGTCCTCTTTCTACCTTTTTTCCATGTTCTGCATTAGAAACTTCAAGGAAACCCACGTGATCGCAACCATTGATTGGCACATTTCAGCATCTGTATTTAAAAAAACTCTGACATCCCTCCACGACAGATAACAACCATGGATTCCGGCCAACAGACTCGTCAAAACGTCGTCGTGATGCGCCATGGCGACCGGATTGACAACTTCGAGCCGCTATGGACTGAGAAAGCTGCTAGGCCATGGGATCCGCCGTTGGTGTTAGATGGCAAGGTTAGGGCATTCTCTACCGGTAAGAAATTCAAAAAGGACCTCCGTTTTCCGATTCATCGCGTCTTTGTATCGCCGTTTCTTCGATGCCTTCAGACAGCTTCCGAAGTCATACACGCTCTTTGCGCCGTCGATTGTAATGTTACTCAAATGAGCTCTGCCGACGGCGTCAAAATCGATCCTTCTATGCTCAAGGTCATATCCTGATTACCTGTTTATATCGTATTATTGATTTATTCATTGATATCGATTCTTTTGAAATACAAAAAATTACCAGGAATAATCCGAGAGAACCATGATTGTGCCTGATTTTTGATGATCGGAGTACAGATAAATGATTATGATCCTGATAATTAAGCTGTATATCTAATTAGTTGTTAGTTCTGGAAGGCATCTATGAGCTTGATATAATCGGATATCTCCTCTACTAATCGAAAACTTGGAGTTTCAAATTCGATTTTGCCTAATGACTAGTGCCCGATCCACATTAAAATTTCTGGAAATTCACTGATTAAAGTAACTAATTGTCCGAAGCAGGGCTTGTTCAAACTTCAAAGTTAGAAACTCTTCCATGGGAACCTATAATTCAAACTCTACCCTTGAGTGTGTTAATTGACATGTAGCAAAAATTTCAGGCTTCTTGGATATGGTTTCCTAGATCTTTCTAACAAAGACTATTAGTACTTTGAAGATCATAGTTTGACATTTTGATATGTTGCAGGTATCTGTTGAATATGGACTATGTGAAATGCTGAACAAACGAGCCATACGAGCTGAGAACGCCCCTAAAGATGGAGACTTTGCTTTTACTATTTCAGAATGTGAAGCTGTTTTACCACAAGGGACAGTTGATTCAACTGTAGAACCAGTTTACAAAGAGGTTATTAACTTATTATAAGACCAAAAGTCTCTTAATCACTTTCTTGTAATTTTTATTCTACTTCTAAACCTATCAACTTTATCAGCTACCAAAATGGGAAGAGCCAACAGAGGTGGCTAGAGACAGGTACAAGAATATTATCAAGATTCTTGCTGATAAATACCCTACCGAAAACTTACTGCTTGTGACACATGGTAAGTGTTGTGTTTGTTAGTACTTGTTTAGGAGGGCATTTATGTCTTTTCCATTCCATTCCATCCAAACAAACAGACCCCTTTGGATTTTGATGCAGGGGAAGGTGTTGGGGTGTCAGTGACTTCATATGCACGTGATGATTTGCTAGTGAGTGAAGTGGAATATTGTGCATATTCAAAGCTTCATAGAACAATTTCCACCAAAGGAGCTGGGGAATTTGAATTGTGTATGAATCTTAAGCAGAGTGGTATTTCCTATATACCCACACACGTTGATGAAGAACAATCCACATCATAAAGAAACCAAGATTCTAAAGCTTTTTTTTAAAAGCTTAGTTATGAAATTTACATATTTAGCCTTCATCTATTTGAAATGTTTTATATAAACTTGTCATTTAGTTTGTCGTTTTTAAGCACAAGTCATATTTGATATTGAACAAGAACAACCATATAGTTTTAATAGGTAAAAAATGGTAAAAATAAATGTTCAATTTTATTAAGGGGGTGAAATGAAAATACTATTGAGATGAGGGGGTTACATGTCATTAGACAATAAAAGATTAAGAGGTTGAGAAAAAAATAAATGGTAATAAGTAATAAGCTCTTCAAATGTTTATTTCAAATAGTAAAAAACTATATATAAGTGGCCATCGTATGCTCTATTTATTACCTAAAATATCACATGATAGCAAACATCACTAACATTGTGTGACTTACCTAATAAATAGACGGAGATAAAAATATTTTTTTTTTATCTAAACCAAAAACTTCGTACTTGAAGCTTTAAAAGAAGGAATTTATGTTGAATGAATGTGACATTGTTGCATACCTACAATAATATTTGGTAGAGGTGAACAAAATCGATCAAGGAATATATATATATATATATTATATATATATATATATATATATATATATATATATATATATATAATGGATTTTCTAACATTTGTCTAAAGACATACATACGAAACATTAATTAATGATAAATATATAATTAGAGACTTATAAAATATAATATATAAGTTGTTATTTTTTCTTAAAACATTGTAGCCTAAAAATCTATTAAATTATAAAAATGAATTGTTTTTTTTTTGGATGACTTGATTATAATCAGGTAGATTCTTTAAAATATAATAATATAATAAAAAATATAATAAAGTAAAAGACAATAGTACACTAATAGCATTATTAGTAGTTATTTCTTATATTTAACCTTACTAATTATTATATCTTTATATAAATAATCAATAGCGTCATCATATTTAATCTTTACTAATTTGGCCTTTGTTTTATTCGATTAGAATTAAACAAAAGAGAATGCCCTTGTTAAATGTTAATTGTTACCTACCCCCTTCAAATTCAAAATTTGTCTTTGAGTCTTTGTCTCTTTGACTTATTCTTTATATATTTGACCAACAAATATTTCTATTTCGGTAAAAAAAAATGTGCATAAATGTATTACATACCACTTTATCTATTTGTAAATACCACTTTTTCAAGTCATCAACTTATTCATGTTCGACAACGACGTTTGTTTTTTCTAATTTTTGAGACAATTCACACGTTTTCTATCACTGCTGTGCTTTATATCATGTGGGGGAGTACATTGACTAACTGGTCCAAAAGTTAAGAATTGAACACAAACTTGGAAAACAAAACCAAATTATACGGAAATCAAATCTCTGCTGTTTGATCAAAAGATAAAAGATATTTACAAAAATAACCATATTATTTGGAAGATAAGAGAAATGGCTTAGTTTTTGGGATTTGCAAAAATAATCATCAGTCCCGAAACGATCATTTTGGATCTCAAGAAATATATAATGTGATCTTTCATTTGTATGTTTCTTAAACTTTTGTTAGAGTTCAGTAAAAAAAAAAAAAAAAAGCTAATGTGATCTTTCATTTGGGTGAAGCCGTAGCTTTTATGTGTAGAAAGGTTGGACAAAAATAATTTTGAAATTTTGAAAAATATAAATCGAAATAAAAGCTAAATTTTTTCAAAAACTACTTGAAAATATCCAATCTAACAAGACTATATGAAATATTTATTATGCGGGAAGAGAGAAGCTCTTTTATTCTAGCTTTTGAATTATGAATTTTTTGTTTTAGGATTAAAAGTGTTTTATATAAAATAAAATTTTTAAATTCATACTCATAAACAAAGATTTTTATTTAATTTGAGCTTTTTTTTAAGCTATTTGCCTCACACACCAAAAGCTCTAGTTATTTTTTTAAGGATGTTTGAGATTGTTTTTCAAATGAATTTTTACTTTTAGTATTTTCAAAAATTCAAAAAATTTTAAAAGATGTTTGGGAACTAAAAAAGTTATTTTCAAAGTAACTTTTTGCCAAGAAGAAAAATAAGATTTTTCAAATGTAGAAAACTTAGTTTTTTTTTTTTTTGTAAAAGGTAAATTAAATTCAAAGGTTAGCAACCTAAACACTTTTTAAAAACAATTTTTATATTTTGCCCCCTCTAAAGTCAAAAAGAAGTTTTAAACTTAAAAAGTAATCACAAACACCCCCTTATTGTCTTCAAGATTTAGCATTTTACCATTCCAATTTATTAAGGTATAAATTACTTGATTCCAATGAATTATGTCAATCACATGATACTTTAGGCAATGATTAGCACTTGTTTTTATTTGTTTTCCAATCCAGAAATTATAACCGTGCTGCAAAAATGATGTTTGATTGTAATTTCAAAAGCATTAAATAATAGTTTTCTTCTCATTACATGTGTAAACAATTATGGTCCTGCTTTCATTTTACCTTTTACGTCCTATTTGTCATTTTCAATTTGTAAACACCTTATGCTCGATCCAAGGATAAATGAAAGATTATAAGTTATAACTGACCCAAAATGGAATATAACAAATAGACAAACTTTGAGCAAAACGAATCTCAGAAACAATTCAAGAAGCAATATCCATAGCTCACGGATTACCATCAAAATCAAAATCAAGACCTACATCCCCATAACAATATCCAAAACCTTACACCACATTGGAGTGATTATCAGTTATTTGTTATTTGTTATCTCTATCTGGTTTTGAATAACCAAAATATGTACCTCAAGCAAAATGATTTAAGAGATTACTTGATTTATCCCCTACCCTTGACTCCAAGCCCAGACCTTATATTTGCCCCAAGTTCCATGGCATCCTTCACCTACATTATCAAAACCAATTTCTTTTTTACTTAATACAGAGAAATAATCAGGTATAGATTTAGCAAGAACTTTAACTACCATAAGACTAATCCTCATGCTTATAAATACTAGTAAGTTACAATTCATATAAATTCCTATCAACAGCTTTTCATAATTCATACTACAAGCATATTTTCGATAAGAATCAATCCATGGACACAAACACTGAGAAGAAAAGGTAAGACCAAATTACACTTCTATGTTTCAATTGCAGGGTTCAATTTGATTCCAATGTTGACGTTTATACATATGCATAATCAAGAAATTTAATCAAGAAATGAAATGAGATGATCATGGATAATGATTCAAATTGCCTCAGAAATCTGACCTAATTCAGTTACGAATTTCATAGAGAATCAAAATGCTCTGATTCATTTTTTAAGATTATACTCATATTATCTTTCATACCTACAAATTGGGCGAAACTATGACCTAAAACCTACCAATTATTTTGCAAAAGATCTTACGATTCACCGTAATTGAAGAGAAGAAAGTGTACCGAGTGGATGCCGGAGGCACTAAAGGTTCCGACAGTGGCGGTTGCTGTGGCGCCGACGAAGAGAGAAGCTACGCCAAAAGCTTTGAGGGGCATGAGTCGTGAGTCGCCGGAGTAGCCTTTGCGGAAGGAGTATATGCCCCAAGCCACTTGGACGCCGCTGGCGGCGACCCACCACCAGTAGCCACTTGATCCACCACCGGTGTTACTGTTAGTCCCTTTCTCCATTTCCTTGCCGCGGATCTTGGCAAGTAAATTACAGAGTGCAACTTTCTTTTTGTTTGGGGTTTTTATGATACCAATGTTGGCAAACGACATACAACAAGGGACTAAACTACAAATGATACGACTCCAAGGACTGAATATATCGTTTCTCAAAAGATAAGGGTAGCAAGAAACCACCGGTACAAATTTGATGGGCTTTACACACACTTCGGTTACTTCAGTATGTGATTGTTGATGATGAAATCTGCACGTCTACACCAACACTGTATCGTGTTTATTTATCGCCTTTAAATTAAATTTCGTTCTAATTATCTTTCGTTAATTTAATTATTATCGTACAACGAGTGAGATGGTAAACGGGCAACAAGCTGCGCTGATAAGCTTAGTTAAATAAAAAAAATAGATATTGAAGTAGTTAAAGAATAATCCAAAAACAGATAAAAACTTTGGAAATTTGACACAAAATTGTAAGTCTATACTGAAATTGGCATTAACTTTTTGTAAGAATCTAGAAAAAGAAAATTTTGGTATTAATTGTGTATAGATGCCAATAGTTACCCTCAAACTAATAAATGAGACGGAAATAACAGTTTTGAGCCAGTCTACCTCTCCCAAACCCATCCCCCTCCATTGCTGATGAGAGACGGTAAGAAAATGGCATGGCAAGCTCCACACAAAACCTCGGCATGTCGAGGTGAGGGGTCGATGTTCTCCATCTTGCCGAGCTCCACATTAGATCTCAGTCACATAACGGAGTCAAGACCAAAGTTTAGTGGTAACACAAAAATAATCGCATAATATATAATAGGGAAAAAATAAAAACTACAATTTCATTAGAGATAACAAAGTGACAAACTATACTATAAAATATATATTACATTTTAAAGTTGACATCTTCGTTTTTTCATTTTCCGAAAGCGAGTAGTCACATTCTCAAGTGTTTTCTTTTCTACACTACAAATCAATGCCCCATTTATAAAGTCGCTACCTATTCTATGCAAATTGTTCTTAGCAAACAAACAATATATATCACGTGGTCAGAGGAAATGTGTGATCAAAGATTACAATCGAACAATCGGCAAATTTTTCTCGCACACGAACAGAACTCCCTACCGCTACCTCCTTATCTAACGCAAAACTCAATTGACTACGAGGTATAAAAAAAAGATGATAGCACAGAAAGGCATATTATACCTAACGTTTATTCCACCTATAAGTACCATCCACCAAGTCCTTTGGTTTCTTCGTGGTTCTCCTCAGTCCCAAATATATATCACGTGCTTATGATACTATTGGGCACATACTAAAGTTCACACACACACACACACATACACACACACACACACACATATATATATTATATATATATATATATATATATATAGGGTCGGGATCTTTTGAGAACTTATATTTTCCCGCAAACCACTCCTAAAATGCGAACTTTTTTGTGTATTTTTTTTTCAAAAAAAAGTGACATAAAACACCAAATCAATCCTATAGAAGCGTATTCGCAAAAAAAATCTCGAAAAAAAAATGTGCATATACGACAGGTGCATATGTGCACAAACGTCGTAAAATTCACAAGTTCAAAAAAATGCACATATGCACCTGTCGCATATACATTTTTTTTTCGACATTTTCTTTTACGAATATGTTTTTTTAGGACCGATTTGGTACTTTATTTCACTTTTTTTGAAAAAAAATATCACACAAAAAAAGATCACATTTTAAGAGTGGTTTGTGGGAAAATATGAGTTTACAAAAGATCCTGACCATATATATAGGGTCAGGATATCGAGAAAGAAGAGAGGGTGTTATGATATCGAGAAGAGTAAGAATCCTAATGGCATATAACAAATAACATATAACTCTCAGCTCCCCCCCCCCCCCCCTCCCCAAGAGTCTAAAGTACCTAATTGAGTGAGTCTACACTATGAGTCTGAACATTGGCATTTGTATTCAGTTTACTCACAGCATGGATTCGGTACCAACTTGTAATATCGTGATTTTTCACCAAAATTTTTCCTTTTCTTTTAACCACTTTTTAGTCAAAAAAAACATTAGCAGAAGTCTTATATTGTTTATTAAGAAAGCATTACCAATGTTACATACAAGCATCCACATCATGTACTTAGTAAGCCACAAGAATTGACACGCCTCAAATCCAAGTTATGGGTAGCAATGAATTTAGGAAGACACTCTCCAAGATACCACTAAGAACCCTAAAAGTTTGCACAAAATCCCGATTAGAAACAAGCAATCAATACAAAAAACAAAGTCTAAGTTTCATATTTTGAAGTTTCATAGTTTGACCCTTGTTCAGTCTTTTGAACGTAAAACAGAATCTACAACACCAAACAGATGCCCTAGGACTTTCTCGAAACTATACTCGATTTCCTACAATTTCATCTCTCTGGGGAATTGTCTAATTTGGACCAGATTGAGCTTTACAGATCCTGCAAAACATATTAACAAGTATGTCTAGATTTCTAACTTTTGACAAACATCGCCAAATACTACAAGGATTAAGACAAGGACTCGAAAATACATATGGATGGTAATAAAATCATTTATACCTACATAAATATGATGAATTTCTAGGAGAAAGAAGGAGGAAGGAAGATTTGATCTCTACTGGAAGAATCCCCACTTGAAAAGCACCAAAAACTCTACACCACCTTCTTGGATCTTCATAAAAACTTCAAGAATGGAAATCACACTTATGAACTCACTTCAAAGGGACTTGTAGGCTACAAAGTAGGGTTTGGTGGCTGAAAAATGAAGTGAATCCCGGATTTTAGGGTTTAGCCTCCTTAAATAGTTGATAACTTTCATTATAGGCCCCTAAAGTGTGAGAATATAACCCCATGGCCCATATACATGATCAAGTATCATTTTCTTGCACATTTGGCCCCTAAAATCTAACTTTAACCTACCAAAGAGCTAACTCTAAAGGAAACATAACAGAAACTAACCTTGGTGACGGAATGGAAAATTTGGGTCGTTACATACAAACATGCCAATGCTTTTGGATCTTTCTATAACATCATTTTCTTTTAATAAAACTATTGAAATGGTCCATGTGGTTTGCTTATTTCTTTGGGTAAGATCTAAAAAATAGTTTCCTAGAAAAAATTTATTTATTTGGTGTTTGAGATGTGGATTTGGTCTTTAAGTGTAACTGTCGTTTTCTTCCCCACGTGCCCTGCACATGAGGAAATTTTCATCTTTTCGTTTATGGGAGCAATGTTCATCTATTATCAAGCATATAATGATGTGTAAACGATCAAACTCTTTTCACCTTCTTCCTCGTTCAATTTCCATTAAGGTGCTTAACCCTAAATCAACTATTTCGACCTAAATCCTTTCCTGAGCTGAGTTAAATTCAAATAGATTGAAGAAAAAAACGATGCTTTTACTGTGGATGATACGACCTACCAGCATGGGGTTTGACACATTGGATTTGTATGTTGAGCGTTACTATAGCTTTCCGAACTTCAATTTTTTTAATTCCAACATAATATGCTAACTATATTCTTTTTTTTAGGAAAATTGATCATCCCACTTTGTCTACGATTGAACTTCACCATAGTGGAAGGTTCACACCTTTTCCAAATATAAGATATGAGTAGAGGAAGGTTATATATATATATATATATATATATATATATATATATATATATATATAGATTTAGTTGATATAAATGAGTTTTTAATGCATGAACTCGACGATATAATGCTAGAACTAGGATATGTGGTTCCCCGAGTAATATATTATCACTTTAGTATTCCCAACCAAAACTTGGTTTTTGGCCATAGAGCTGTTGGGAATGATCAAGATGTATGTAACCTAGTTAAATACAGATCCAAGTGTATACTGGTCATGGTACAACCAACTTGGTTACAAACTTCATGTCACCAAATCAGATGAACGGTGTCATTATTAATAAGATAAATGAAGACGATGAAGTGGGAATTGAACCGAAACAACGAAAACAAACAGTAGTTGATGAACACCAACTTGACTATAGTAGTTCATCATTGCTAGTAGTGGTTTAAGGAGGTGAATCAAAATCATTTTCACTAGAAATTAGAAGAACAAGAATTTTGAAGCCAGACCAGGGTACTGGGTCATGTTTTAAGAGGTTAAACATCGAGATTGAAAAATGAGAAAAGCAAGAGAAGGAATTACATGCTAGTGAAACAAACATTTCTTATGATAATGTAACCAAAAAGTGAAACAGTAGGTAATTAGGAGAAAGAGGTACCAGAAGATGACAATGTAGTGCCAACAAGTGAAACATGGGATAATCAGGAGGAGGAACTACCATAAGAGATGTTGTTGGTGAGCCTTAATTTAACTTAACCACTAGGCAGTTTATGTAGTGACCCTAATTATGATGACATGTGCGGAATTGTAAAGATCTAGTGAATCATACAAACATCAAGAACACAAGGAGTTAATAAACATGTTTAAGCTTCATTAGAATAGTAAGAGTACAAGTGGGTTTTGAATATTTTCTCACTAAACTAACTCTCATAATGGTTCTTATATAATGGGAGTCACTTACTTCCTATTTATAGGAAAGACTCAAACCATTTACACATACAAGAGGGTAAGCCAAATCCAAGGAGAACTTTGCACCCTAACATTCTCCCCCTCAAAGTTAGGATTGGATGTCCCGACTTCAATTTCCAAACGAGCTCGCGCGATCAATACCAACTCCCCCTCGAAGTAACACCGGTCTTCAAATCCGCAAATGAATACACGAGAAGCATCAAATACCCATTTCTACATTCTCCCCCTTTTTATAATCAACAAGTGATTATAAAATCCACAAAGGATGAGAAGCGCTCGAGGAATAAACTTAACGAATCTCCCCCTCGATGTGTGTTAAAAATGAAACCGCAAAAATCTTGCGGGAAAAACAATCACGAAAAGCCGAGAAAATTTTCCAAATTTTGTGAAAATTTTTTACCTTTGGGTGAGTTGCAAGAATTTCGAAAACTGGGTAATAACTGTTAATTTCATAATCCTGCACCGACCTGATGCGCCAAAACAGCCTCAAATGTGAAACTTTACCCCAAATGCGAAATT